CTCCTCCATCCATGGGATTCTCCAGGCAAAAATACTGGAGTGGGTTGCCATTTCCTTCTCCAGAGGATCTTCCTGACCCAGGGATCAAACCCAGGTCTCCCGCATTGCAGGCAGATGCTTTACCCTCTGAGCCACCAGGGGAAAAGTACAGTCAATTCTCTACCATATGCAAAATAGACAGCCAATGGGAACCTGCTGTTTGGCACAGCTCAGGGCTCTGTGACAACCGAGATGGGTGGGATGAGGCTGGGGGCAGGAGAGAGGTCCAAGAAGGAGGAGATACATATATATATATACACACACACATAGCAGATTCACTTCATTGTACAGCAGAAACTAACACAAAATTATAAAGCAATTATATTCCAATTTAAAAAAAAACTCCAAAAAAATGTGGAGTCAAGATTATTCCTAAAGGAAGAATTCCAGCATATTTTTACATTTTATTGGAATTATTTATATTCCTTATTACTATTAAAGTGGTCTCCTTGCTTTTCTTAGAATAGCAGTATTTAGCAGAAATATAATGGGAGCCATATACTGAATTAAAAATTTTCTAGTAGCTACATTAAAAAGTACAAAGAAGTAAAATTCAAATTTAAATAAATTTTATTTAAAATGGTCATTCAAAATTTTACGCTTTTAACATGCAACTTCTTCCCTGGATCTTTCCCGGGTTGGGAAAATCCCCTGGAGGAGGAAATGGCAACCCACTCCAGTATCCTGACTTGGAATATCTCATGGACAGAGTAGACAGGTGGGCTGCAGTACATGGGGTCGCAAAGAGTCGGGCACGACTGAATGACTAACACTTACTTACTTACTTATGTAACTAATATAAAAATGACTAATGAGATTATTTTAACTTTTTGTCATACTAGATCTTCAAAAGCTGCTGTGTATTTTATACTTATTGCATATCTGAGTTTAAGCAAGCCACTTCAAGTGCTCGATAGCCACATGCAGCCAATGGCCATCCTACTGGACAGCACAATCTGAAATTAGTAACTGTTCAAGGAACTGAAAGATTTTGGCTCAGTGGAAGATCAGTTTCTATGATCAAAGTCACCTAAAAATGCAACAAGCAGACTTATAAAAGGGTGAGAGTCCAATCTCTGGAGGGGCCTGGGTGATATCTTTTTTATTAACTTTTTATTTTATATTGGACAATAATCGATTAACAATGTTATGTTAGTTTCAGGTGTACACTGAAGTGATTCAGGTATCTATTCTTTCCAAATTCTTTTCCCATTTAGGTTGTTACATAATACTGAGCAGAGTTCCCCATGCCATAGAGCAGGTCCTTTTTGTTTACCCATTTTATGGCAGTGTGCACAAGTCCATCCCAAACTCCCTAACTACCCTTCCTCCCACCCATCCCCATCTGGCAACCATAAGTGCCTTCTCTAAGTCTGTGAGTCCGTGTCCGTTTCTGTAAGTAAGTCCATTTGCATCATTTGTTTTCAGAGTCTGCATATAAGCGATATAGGATATTCCTCTTTGTCTGATCTGAGGGGTTTGTCTTGCCAAGGAGACCACTGTACTTAGTGCTTCCTCTGCCCTTGCCCTTGGGTTAGGTTGGCATTTTTGCAAAACTTACTTCACTTAATCCTCTCAACTCATGGAGGCTGCTACTCTTACCCTCTCCATTCACAGATGAGAAAACAAAAGCACAGGGTGGTTACGCAACTACCCAAGGTCACAGAGCAAATCAGTGACAGAGCTGGGATTCAGACTTGGACAGGTTGGTCCAAGCTCACAGTCCTAACCACTGAACTCTGCTGTTCTCCATGTGCTTATTTTTCAAATATAAGACACAATCAGAAGGCAGCATTGTTTTTAGCTATTTTTCTCCTAATCTAGGTCAGTTATTTTTCAGGCCTTGCGGGAGGTGGGAAAGGCACAGGAGATGGGACTCTAGTAATCCTATCGATCCCCTCAGCAAACAGAGCAGCTCCATCTTTTCTATTGGAGTTCCACCCAAGATTTCATTTGGGGAAAATGGAAAGGGTAAAATCCATTGATTCAAATAGATTGTAACCGTATTATCAGAATCCTAATTTTCTGAGTCTCCTGTATCTCTCAAGTCTCCTTTACCTGGACCATAAACGTGGACAGCAAGAGTAGCCACGTGGCAGACTTGTAAGAAGCATCAAATGAGCTGATCGGCAAAAGGTGCTCAGCATAGCACGTGGTACATTAAAAGGTGGTGGTTATTTTAATTATTTTTGTGACACGTTTTAGGAACAACGTCCTATGGGATTTATTAAGAGTTAAAAGTACTTAGATATATCAAACCCTTCAAAAGTGGTCCCCACCTACCTACCCACACTAACCCTTCCTCCCCTCTATAACCGCTACATACACACACACACACACACACACACGCACACGCACGCACGCACGCACGCACACAGATCAGTACAAACTGCCCTCTGCCCTTCCCTGAAAATTCCATGTCCTTTCCTGTTTCTATACCTTGGCACAGGATGTTCCCTTTGCTTTGTTTCTTGTTTTTCCTATTCTCCCAGCTCTGGGGTTTTTGGAAGCAGGGACCCTGTCATACTCTGCTTCCCCAGGAGATGACTTTGTTAATCACATGAACCAGGCCTGGGAGCTGAAACGGCAGCAAAGCCATGCATTCAAAATCAGATTTGACCTTTGAAAAGTTTACCATATTAGTTCAGGGATTTTTGAGAAGAAGCCAACTGTTCTCCTGGCTTGGCCCTGCATAAACCTCTTTTTTTTGCTCCAAACTCGGACATGTCGGTTTGGCCTCACTGTGTATCAAACACACGAACCTGCGTTCAGTAACAGGAGGATGAAGTCACAGAGGACGCAGCCAAGCCCCAGCAGAGAGACCACTGGGGCCGCTGGTGACCCGAGGTGCCTCAGGACGACCTTTCATTTTGTTGGAAGAGGAATATGTGCTTAACGCTAAAACCTGTGTCCTTTTACATTAATGCTTGAGTCTATTTAAGAAATCACTGTTCATTAAATTAAAAAACAAGTTTACCATATGGACAGAGATCACTGTCCATTTGTCAAAATCCACAGAACGTACAACACCAAGAGTGAACCGTCACATGAATTATGGACTTTGAGTGATATGAGTGTTAATGTGGGGTCACTGACTCTAACAAGGGGACCACGCTGGTGTGGGGTGTTGACAGTGGTGGGGAGCAGTGCGGGTGGGACAGGAGGTATATGCAACTCTGTGCTTTCCACTCAAATCTGCTATAAACCTAAAACTGCCTTAAAAAATACAACCTGTTTTGGGGTTTTTTTTTTTTTTTTTTGACCACAGCATGTAGCTTGCAGGATCTCAGTTCTCCAACCAGGGACTGAACCCGTGTCCTCTGCAATGGAAGCATGGGGTCGTAACCACTGGACTTCCAGGAAACTCCCTACAATGTTTTGGGCTTTTTGTTTCTATTTTGGGGGTGCACTGGGTTTTACCTGTGGCATACAAACTCTTAGTTGTCACATGTGAGATCTTGGTCCCGGCCCAGGGATCAAACCTGGGCCCCCTGCATTGGGGGTGCAGTCTCAACCAATGAACCACCAGGGATTCCCCCCCCATAGTCTATTTTTAAGTTATCTAATACAACACCAATTGTAATTAATGTAGATCAAAATTTAAATCAAAATTTATTTTTCTAATACAAAGCTACTATCAAGTTTAGGATACACCTAAACTATAAAACATGCATGCTTTATGCCGATATACACACATATGCTTAAATGCGTACACCCTAATGTGCTACTAATAAGGAAAAAAGAGCCACTATCAACCACCAAGGTCAGAACCTTTCCTATGTTTATCCAATTGTGTCAGTTACCAAGCTACACGTATCCTTTGGGCGGGACAGTCTCCCCCACAGGAAAAGAAAAGTCAAAGAAGACCTGAACACCAAAACCAAAGTATAAACATGAGGACTGGTCGGAGAACCAAGTGCTCAGGTGAGGCATCCTCCAGAGGACAAGAGGCAGCCTGCAGTAGGTGTCAAGGGGACAGGAAGACCTTCCCTGACCCCAACTCCTGTGCAAATGGAAAGAGGGTGTGGATCCTGAGCGATGAGGAAAGAGATCAAATGTGATCATTTTCCAGAGGGACCACCCTGAGAACTGGGCAATGATATCCCAGGGCCCAGGACAATCCGAGGCTCTTCCTTACCCTATGGAGGGTTTGACTCTCAGGGGTCTGCCGTCATGTCAACACTGGCAATCGTTCAACCACGGTCCCTTACCTACCAGCCTACAAAGCTCTCAAGAAACAAATGCCTGAGTGGGTCTCTCTCAAAAGTCTCTTCTCCTGAATGTCTATAAGACTGCAAAACAGCAGGGCTTGCTTATTACCAAAGGGCATATTGCTCTAAGAGTCTCTTCTAAAAAAAGGTAACGTGACTGTCTGAATGGTGAATCCTGGGTTTGCTTAAAGCCCAAAGAAAACATGGGTCATGAGGAATCTTAAGAGGAACCAAACTTCCCTTTTACAAGCTCCCACAAAAAAAGCTTCAATAGTCATGCTCACTATAAATGCTTTTTTCTTTCTTTTTTTTCTTTTACCCTCTTTGAAGAGGGGAGTATAGAAACAAACAAAAAATAAAAGCAGCTATATCCACCCTGTATGTGGGAGTTTTCTCCTCGATATGTAGCTGGAACATCAAAATCCCAGCTACCCCATTTGATTGTTTTTAAAGAGAGTAAATGACTTTGGGGAGGAGAATCTCATTACAGCCTCCTCATGGGCTGAAAACAAAGGGGAGCTGCCATACACTCACCCCTATTTCCTGCCCCCCACCGCCCCCAGCCCCGTGCAAGCTCTAGGAGGTGTCCTTGCTTCTCGCAGCATCAGAGCAGGTCCCCGCATCCACCAAAGGTGTTACGATGGACGCCACGCTGGGAATCACAGGATGCTTGGAAAGCAGGCTGAGGCCGACGAGCCGGGTCCCCGGGGTGCACTGTGGCCTCTCCACTCCTCACACACGCGCCCTTACCTCCCGCAGCTCCAGCCTCTGGGCCACCGCCTCCAGGCACTCCTGCCCCGTGCTCTCCACAGACAGCGTGCATTCGATGACACTGCTGTCCAGCAGGCGAATGCGAGTGACAAAGCAGTTCTTGCTCAGGACGTTGTAGCGCCGCGTCCGGCGCAGCTTCAGGCCAAAAGGCATGGCTCTGCAGGCCTGGGATGCTGCCCTCGTGCCCTGGCGCCCACGCCCCTGAGATGGCCTTAGCAGCTTCGTGATGGGGCACTACCACCCGTGCTCCTCCAGGTGCGGAAAAAGGCGTCCATGCCCGGCGTGGTGCTCCGGAGGGTCGCTGCAAACACAAATGTAGCAGCAAGGTTAGGGCTGGAAGGAAAGCTCCAGGCCGCACACATTCTCCCACATGTGCACATCCCCCTGAGGCACAGATTCAAGAGCGTGCAAACTCTGATGCTCCCAAGCGCCTTGGTGGAACCCATGCACTTGACCTTATCTTACAAGGGTGATATGACAAGACCCACTTGATGGCTAGAGACACAGATGTTCAGAGGATTAAAAGGACTCATCCAAGAACCCATGTGGCAAAGCCAGTATTCAAACCAATGTCTATGCAACTTCAATTCACATTTTTTAAGAGATCATATTTCATTTATTAGATAGGCACAGACCAAAAAAAAAAAAATAGTAATACCCATCACTGAGGAAATTGCTGGGTAATATTTTTTGGTGAGAGTGTAAACTGATGAAATGCCAAAAAACAAACAAAGCGTGGTTACTAATAACACATAAAACTTTAAATGTATATATCCTTTTACTCTCTGAACTTCTACTTTAAGAAATATTTTCTAGAGATACATTTGTCCAAGTTTGGAAAGGATATCCACTGAAAAGTTGTTTATACGTAACACTCCAGTATTCTGCCTGGAGAATCATGGACAGAGAAGCCTGGTGGGCTATAGTCTATAGGGCTGCAAAGAGTTGAACATGACTGAAGCAACTTAGCATGTACACATAGCATAAAATTGAAACATTTTCTCTATCAACAAAGGATTGGTTACATAAGTAGTACTATACCCACAGAGTGTAAAAATGTGTTATCACTGAAAACTGAGATAAATATATCATTTGCAAAACTGTTTGAATTAGGCTAGGTGGCTGGTGTTTTTGGTGTGGCAACCTAGGACATGGAATTAAATGGAATTGAAAAAAAGCAAGATGCTTACTGTATGCATAGATTCCAGTTGCATAAAATTAAAAATATGTTGAGAAAGACATATTCTTGTGTATACATTAAATATTTCTGAAAGGATGCACAGAAAGCTGTTGGGTGGTTGCTTCTTGGGAGAGAAATCTTTGACTTTTCTGTGCATTCTAATAAGGATTTATTCTTAATCTACTTACAGAGTATCACTTTTATAATTGAAAAAATAGGTAGCCAAAACGTGTGCTGCTAGATCACTGATGATAGAAGGAAAAGTTACCATATTAACTCTGCTTGAGTTAAAAACGGAATATTTATGACAGCGCAGGTAAAGAAAATCTCTTTCAATGTATGAAAGTTGTGTCCCACTCTACATGACCCTATTGACTGTAGCCCGCCAGGCTCCTCTGTCCATGGGATTCTCCAGGCAAGAATACTGGAGTGGGTGGCCATGTCCTTCTCCAGGGGACCTTCCCGACGCAGGAACTGAACTCGGGTCTCTTGCACAGCAGGTGGATTCTTTACCCTCTGAGCCACTGGGAAGCTCCTTCAGTGTACACATGGTATTTTAAATGATGGTTGTTTCAGGTAAAGAGAATTATGAGAGACTTTGTGGTTTAAAGGTTCCTTGGACTACTCTTGATTTTCTGTTTTTATTGTCGTGAACATGGATTTAATGATCGGGAAAAACATAGTGAATAAAAAAATATCATGTTTACTTAAGAACCAACCTTCCATAAAAACCACCCAACAGCTTGTATGGAAGTCAGTGTAACCGTAAGGTTCGAGAAGTCTCAGATGGGCAGCAATACTTGGAGTCCAATAAGATATTTATATCTCATTGCCCCTCTTTACCCAGCTATCAGAAAGTTTGCTTCAAGTATCATTAACTTCAAATTTCTTAAGTCTCTTCTCTATTCTTTTTTAGATAAACTTTTTATCTTATATTGGAGTATAGATGATTAACAATGTTGTGTTAGTTTCTGGTGTAAGACAAAGTGATTCAATTAAACATATACATGTATCCTTTCTCAAATTCTTTTCCTATTGAGGTTGTTACATAATACAGCCTGTCCACTCAAGAAAGGAGGAGTGAAATCTGAACTTTTTTTTTAACTTCTAAATATATTGTCTTGTTTTAACCCCATTACCAGCTCTCTGGTGTTGACTTATAATCTCTGTTTACAGATGGAAAAAGTGGGGTTCAATGATTTAAGCAATTCACTGACCCTGAACTTAAAATCTAATCTTGTTCCTCTTTTAACATTGTCTTTATTTTTAATACTTATACTTATTTTCTTATTTACTGTATTTTCTTATTATTGGATGATAGAAAATGAAATGAATATACATTTAATTATTAATTATAAATTAGTAATTAGTGATGAGTTAGTCTGCAACTTTTTTTAAGAAAAAGTGAATACATGAATTCTTTAATGTACTTAAAATCACAGCTGTATCCTTTCTTCACCAAATATTTACACAGATGTGGGGAACCACCCTATTCTCATTTTGTTCCTTTACAAAATACTTGATGCAAAAGTCCATCCCCAAACTACACCAAATTTAACTCACTAATAACAAGATTTACTGACCCCCAGATGTCCTATGAATGCCAGTGATGACATTATTGCCATGGACAACACAAGAATAAAATAACAACAAGAAAAGCAGCTTTACCATCCGCCCTGTGCCAGCAATGCTCTCACTGGAAGGTTTCCAATGCTCTCATCTTCCAAAGCAGCCAGACATGTCCACATGGCCTCTCTGTACAACTTTCTGTTCCCCGTGAAGCACAAAGAACCATCTCCTGTTCATATGATCGTTCTGTTAATTTGACTCCCTAAGTCAGGCAGCCTTTAAGCCCGTTCCACACAGAATCACCTCTGAGCCCCCTAACACTTGGATAGACAAACAGGAATAGCTACTTGCAGGAATTCTTGAATTAATAATTCTAATGGCTTTAATATTTAGAAATCACTCCTTGTCAGAAATCACCCCAGGCCTCAAGCCAGGAGGTTGTCAGGACACAACCCTACAACACAGCCAAACACACTCCCAAGACTCCCTGGGCCAGCCTCTGATGTCTGCCCTCGGCACATTCCTTAGCGTGACAGGTACATGTTTTATGAAGGCTTAAAATACATATGCGAGAGACTTGGGCTTGGTAAAATAGATGAACGTTTCTAAATCACTTTATGTTGGCAGAGTGTCGTGTTTACCTCCAAGGTAGGCCAACCTGATGATCTCCTGATATCGGCCGAAAAAAACATGGAGGGACCCACCCAAAAAAGGGGAAAAAAAAAAAGAATATCAGAATTCAACTATGGAGTCCTTAAAGAGTTTACTCCTCTCACATTTCCATGAACTTGCTAAAACACAGGGCAGAGGACATCAAGACTCAATTCCTATATTGAAAAACTAGAGAGCCTCAGAGAGAGGAAAATATTTGCTCTGTGGGCACAAGCCACATTTCTCATCCTGGGCTGGGCACTTTACCTTTGGGTGCGTCACTTTGAACACCTACGAAGGAATGTGGCTGGCTTGGTGCACATTTATCCCAGCCACTGCTAAACACAGTCCCTGCTTTTAAATATATATTTGACAGGACACAATCCATAACACAGCGAGATAAAAAGTACACCGTACAACAAAGTGCACAGACACACACTGCTTTTATAATGAACAAAAACACACAAATAAACAGGAAAAAAGTAAGTTCACCAAAATGACTGTTATCTCAGGGCCCCATGGTGACGGTATCAAGCAGAAATCTCATTTGATATTTCATATATTGTACAATCATCCATCAGTCTCTGCAGGAAATTGGTTCTAGGACCTCAACAGAGACCAAATTTCAAGGATGCTCAAGTCCTTATGTACAATAGCACAGTGTTTGCAAAGAACCTATCTTACACTTTAATTCATCTCTAGATTACTTACAATACCTAATACAATATAAATGCTATGGAAAGAGCTGGCCAGCCTGGCAAACTCAAGTTTTGCTTTTTGGAACTTTCTGGAACTTCCCTTTTCAAAAATATTTCTGATCTGAAGTTGGTTGAACCCACATATGTGGATCTGTGGCTAGAAAGGGCCAACTGTATTTCTCAATTATTTTAACATTTTACAACTGCCTTATTTTTATAACTAAAGATTTTGTAACTAAAGATTTTTTTTTAATACGCTACAGAAAATGATATGTCAGGTGCAACATCTGACAATACATCTCCTAGAAAATACCTATTTTAAGTTTTAAATAACTTTTGAAATCTTCAGTTTGCCAGACACTTGCCAGGTAAACTGTCAACAAAAAAGCTTAAAAGAAAACTGGTATGGTTCCTCTGAAAGTCAATGTCATGAAAAAAAAATTGAACAGGAAGGATTGGAGGCAGACTGCTCCAGAGTAAGAGAAATTCTGGAGTTATTAAAACAAAATGCAATGTGTGACCTTCATAAAACCGAGCTTGGGAAATAAAATAGTTATAAAACACACAAGACATTAGGGAAATCTGAAACAAGGAGTAGAAATGAGATGATATGAATGTTTTATGGTTTTCTTCTTTTTCAATAGTGGAATTGTGGTTATGTTCATTCCAGATTGCTCAGTGGTAAAAAAAACCTGCCTGCAATGCAGGAGACACGGGTTGAATTCCTGGGTCAGGAAGATCCCCTGGAGAAGGAAATGGCAACCCACTCCAGTATTCTTGCCTGGGAAATCTCATGGGCAGAAGAGCCTGGCGGGGTCTGTGGGGTCGCAAAGAGTCGGACATAACTAAGTGACTAAACAACAGCAACAACATTATACATTTAGGTGTAAAAAGTCACTCACTTAACAGAAGGAGAGGGAATTCCAAATGAGTTGAGCAGTTCTAAGAGTCAAAGTTTAATCTCAGGGAACAGGACACACTCAAACCTTGCTAGGAGAACTGGATTCATCCAGAGAGGCCTGGAGAGAGTGTCAATTATTTATCCTCAGGTTACTCATCCACAAAGATAATTTAAAAAGAAAAAGGCAAAACAAAGAATATAAAGTTTAGCATGAAGCAATGACAATACCATGGTGAAACCTGACCAAGTGTAAAACAAAATCATGGTCTCTCCCAGCACTGCACCCTTGCCATCCCCCTGACTCTGACATCTGGAGCAGAAATGAGCCAGTCATTAGGGGAAATGTCCCATTACCAGCCCATCGTCAGTGGGTCAGAAGACTGTCATCTCAGGCGATAACGTGTATAGAGTGCGTGGTGTCAGTGACTGGTTTGGGGTTTGCTTTCTTTTGCTTGTTTTTTGGTAGAAGGTTGATTCTAAACTGTCTTTGGTTTTATAACCCATTTGGCTGTGTCTCTAAAGGTGCAGGCACATCCCAGTCTCTCTCACACTGAAGAATCTCCCATAGGCCTCTGGGCTCCCAAGTAACATCCTGAAGGGAAAGATCTGTGTCGCATTCAGCTCTGTGGTCCCCTGTGATCCAGAAATGGAGCTCTGGCCATGGCAGGAAGCTGAATAAATATTTGTCATTATGATGAAAGAAAGAATGAATCCTGAAAACAGTTGAGATTTTTGAAACCAAGGTAGGACAGGCATCTCCAGATGCCCTCAGTGAGACTGGAGGAATCTGGAGCCTCAGAGAGGATGGACTTGGGGAAGCTTCAGAGAGGCTTAAACCATGGAAAAAATGGCATGAGACATTATTTACCTCCCTGGTGCTTCTTGGGGGAAAAGTTTTACCCAGATTTCTAAAAGTTCTGCTTCTCCAGCCTTTGATGTGCCATATTCCGGGGGTGGTCTTGAAGACAAGAAAGATGCCATATGCCCGGAAGCTCTCTGCAAAAACTACGCTGGAACTACTGATAGGTCAGTGTTTCAGTGCACCCCGAGACTGCTGAAAGCAATCTGTTGGGATATTTGCTCCGTAAACACCCCATTCCTTTCATGTAATAGGCAACAGTAAGAGAGAACGTACAGAAAGCTTTAAAGTCACTTCTAAATCCCACTCCTGACTATTTCATCAGATTTCCCAAACCTCTAACATGTACATATCCATCTTTAACTATCAGCTGTGAATTTCTAGTACTTTATACTCCTTTTATCTAAACATATCAGTGAAAATCCTGCCAGTTAAAAACACAAAGCTTCATCATCATACAGAAAAAATTATTTGGCTGATCTAATAAATCTTTAAATATGATGGGCTAAAAGTAGAGAGATCTTTCATAACGTCAACCAAGTACAGCTTAATCTTCTTTATTAAATTACCTGTATGGCGTTTAGAAAAATGAAAGACAGAAATTAAAACCCAAATCTTCAAGACGGTCATCACACTTTCTCTTGCGTCCTCATGCAATATTACATATACTAGCCTTTCTTCCCCGCCCCCCACCCCCAGATGTAAGGTCTGAATCACTAGCAGAAGCTAACTGTTGTTCAGCTGCATTCTTTATTTACCAACAGCTTCTGGAATCTTTCCAGCATTCCATATTATTATAATTCCCAAGCACACCTCACAGAACTATGTAACCCTGGTCTGGGTGTGAGAAGGGAAAAATTGATGTAACTCACACATCCTGTGTATAAACCTGCATAAGGCACAGCTTGGTTTTGAAAAATACGATGTCATTTTCCTAAGGGGAGTTTTAAAGAAGCATGGGGTGAGAGGGCATGAAAATGTCTTCTCTGGCTCCCTATTTGAAGGACAGCAGAAAGGAGGGAGGGTGGGGTGAAACAGTCGACTGGGTTTGACACATGAACACTACCATGTGCAGAAGAGAGAGCTAGTGGGAAGCTGCTGCATCGCACGGGGAGCTCAGCCCGGCGCTCTGTGAGGACCAGCGGGGCGGGGATGGCGGGGGCGGGGGCGGGAGGCAGGTTCGGGATGGAGGGGATACATGTGTACCTGCAGCTGATTCACTTCATGGTACAGCAGAAACTAACACAGCACTGTAAAGGAATTAGAAAGAATAGCAGAGAGGAAGTTCACTTTGTTTAGTAAAAAATCAGACTATTAGTTTCTACTATAAATTTGACATATACCCATATGTCAAATTCTCTTTAGCCAAATACAATTTTTGTGCAAGATCTGAAACACAAATCTCTACCTTTCAGTGGCTAAACAACTACGACAACAAAAACAGAATGGCCACCTTTTAAAATCCCTTTATTTCTCTTCCCACTGGATGGATTTCAAACATCCAGCGGTGAGATCCAAGAAATGTGTCCAAAAACACATTTTCCAACATTCCCATGCATTAACTATGTAGTTGGCCTTTCAAGCCTTTTTTAAGCTGTATTTAAAGTGAGAAGAAAGGTTCCTATTATAGGGCCCCATCACAGGGGTACCGCACCCACAGGATAGGCAGCTACACAGTAACATCTATACAGAATATGGCTGAAAATCAGGAAACAGAGCCAAAACAGCCTTTGAGCATTCAAATATCACAAGGCCCTTAAGTCCAACATCATACACTTTTGCTTGGGGAAACAGCACTCTCACAGTTCATTCGTTCTAACTTTACATACATACCTTTATACAGCTAAATCCGCCCTTAGATTCAAAAGGGATAAGGAAAAGCACCTTGACAGGGCATAAAACCAGCAACGAGGGAGGTGACAGATAAATTGTAAAAAGACACTAGTGGTAAAGAAACTGCCTGCCAATGCAGGAGATGCAGGAAGTGTAAGTTCGGTCCCTGGGTTGGGAAGATCCCCCTAGAGTAGGAATGGAAGCCCACTCCAGGATTCTTGCCTGGAGAACCCCGTGGACAGAAGAGCCTGGTGGGCTTCAGTCTAGGGCGTCACGAAGAGCCAGACACGACTGAGCATGCGCACACAGCTGTATCGCAAACGCTCTGCAGTAAAAGGGAATGATTAAATAACATCCAGTGGACTCTGGTTAAGAAGGCAGAAAATGAATATATATTTAAACAGTCCCATTCATGGTGGTTAAAAATAACAAGAAAAAAAAAAAAACAATGGTTCTTAAGAAGGTAAAGCTTCTGTTACTTGAAATCTTTTTTTTTTTTTTTTGCCTTAAACAAGTGGTTCCCTTTTATTTCTGCTCTTACACTCAGAAGCAAACCAGTTCCAAGAAGCATCAGATGCTGCTGATGCTGATTTTTAACTGGGGAAGGGAGAAGGAGAGAGGAGGACAGGGAGATGTGGAGAAAGAGGAGACCTGCAGAAGGCAACTCTGGGAAAACAAGCAGTTTCCATTTTTCATTTAGCTAAACTTTAAAGGCATTCAAAGTAACTCCTGAATATTTACAAATGAAATGATGCGGTGTTTGGAATTTGCTTAAAAGGAATGGGTTTCTTAAATGGTACTTTGAAAGTAACCTGGTATAACAGATAACAGTGCCTACTTTGCAAGAGGTGTTTTACAGAAAAATAGGGTCAATATTTTCCCTCCAACCCAATCCCTCTTGCCCTTCCAAAGTAAACCTTGCATCTAAGTAGATCAAATTGATAGTGGAGTTCTTCATTTCATTTTTAAAGGATGACAGGAATAGCTCTTTTGGTAGGTAAAGTGACAAGTTGGACAAAAGACAGAGAACAATCAATCAGGCATAAGATAAGGGATTCTTCTCCGTCCAACTTGCATAATCACCTGTATCAAAATACCTGACTCGGGTTCACTCCTTAAAGGAGCTCTCTCTGTCTATTCATGCCAGGAATGCTTTGTCCTAAAGACTCCACCCTTCTTTGAGAGACCATAGAATCTGCAGCTCTCAATCCAGCTCTTTCTTCTGTTAGTGTCTACACCCACAGCATGGTCATGTGTGTCCTGGAACGTTCAAGCCAGTGACCAGACTGGGCGATTCCTGCAAGTGTCAGAACATGAAGAAGGCAAGGACGGGCACCTCCATGTTTAAAGGAGATTCGAGGCCAGGGGTGCCCCGCTGAGCTTTAACTCCAAAGGCCCTAGGAGATGGCGCCTCCTAACACCCCATTTCATAGGATGGGGCATCCAGGCTGAAGAGCTCAAGATCTCACCAGTTCCTAATGATGCTATCGGACCCGCCACGTTCTTACTCAAGGAACCATTCTAATAAAATCCAGGAAGCAGGCTGGAAACCATGACTTGGCGATAGAAAAATGACAATGACAGAAGCAAGCCACATTCCACCAGGAGGACTGCGACACGCCCTCTGCAGTCTGACGCTGCTCCCCCCCAGATCCATGACTCAGACATGGCGGAGACAGACCCTGAGGCGGGCGAGCCATTTTCAGCCCCAGCATGTTCTATCCAGAGGCCACGGCAGCAGGATCAAGGCCCTGTTGGGCCCACAGCACACCCCCCTACCCCCGAGGCCTCTTACCTAAATGGTTTTCTTCCCACAGTCCTGGTCTGTGGTCTATGCCACCCAGTGGGGTGATCCGAGCAGGTCACACACAACCTCCTCAAAAACCCACTTCAGAAACAATCACAAGAGCCGCCACCGAGGTCTTCCAGCCTGGTCATGTGACTCACTTGTGAAAATTAAAAAAAAAAACAAGGGCTGAAGGTGAACACACCTTTCAGCTGCTTCAGCCGCTGCCCTTGGGGTGAACACCCCGAAGGGACAAAGCTGACGAAGGGCAGGGCTTTTGGTGAGAGGCTGCAGCAAGCGGGCTCCCTCAGCCCAGTTTCCACACCTCCCTTTCCTCCGCTTCCTTCCTGCCCTGAGTTCCCTGGACTTCCCTCGCAAGTCCAGGGCTTTCGGATGGGAGGACTCATCTGTGTCACTTCCTCTGCAGAGGCGGCGGCCAGGCATCGCTGCCCATTCTCTCCCCCGGGTCTGCGCATCCAGCGCTGGCTTCCCTGGGTGCGTCGCCTTGTTCCTGAGTCTCTCCAGCCCCATCAGTGAGCCTCGCCCCGATGTGCAGTCACTTCCACGCACAAGCCACTTCAAAGCCACCTCACTTTCTGCATTTGTAACATGGTGTTGATAAGAGTCCCACCCCTCACAGAGCTGTTGGAGGAATGACAGGAGTTAAGCACCGTTTAGGGGGCTGGCCCAGCGCCTGGCATGCGGTCCACAATGCGTCTGTCTGCCCTCGTTACTGTTATTTCACTGAATATTGCAGGAGGCCCAAGAAAACCCGGACTAAGCCCCCAAAGAGTTAAAACAAACAAAACCTGTTTTCCAACAAATCAATGCTTTTAGAATGTTTAAAGTCAAGACTATTCATCATAAGGAGGCAAAACATGAATGAAAAACAAGCAATTACCGATCCCGCTGATGGAGAACCATGACAGGGCGCCCACTGAGTTTCAGCTATGTGACCACCCCAGTGAGTCAGGAAGCCAAGTGGGTTCTAAAATATTATAATACAATCACCTCTCGCGAGCCAAGATGCTGAATCAAGGGGGAGAAAGAATGAAAACAGGTATGAACTAGTGTCAGCTGTCAGAGAGTTGCATAATCCCAACTGATGCAATCAAATGTTAATTACTAATGGGAGAAAACAAAGCTTCTACATATTGATAGATGGTCATGCGACAAGTATGTCCCTTCATGTAGGAAGACCACGTACACATATGCACCAATGCATGGCAAACTCACCCTAACTATCCTTTCTTCTCTTTGTCCCTTACCTGGTAGGTGGACACACACACAGTGGGTACTTGCTAAAACTTATGTTGTGCTAAGTAGTTCTGAGTGACAGTACAAAAATCTGTCTACCTCTAGCATAGCATAGTAACTTCACTGTTGCGAAAACATTTTCTTCATGTTAGGATCAGTGACCTCAAACCTGAAGATCTGCTCAGCTGCCTGCATCTCGCAAAGCAAGTCTGGGCCTTGAGCAAGGAGATACTGCACATGGGGTGACCCTTCCCCTGCACAGGGGATGTCTATGCCCTGTAGGGTGTGAGCCCCATTATGACCAAAGGGCAAATGTCAAGTGCTTCAGTTCACAAGTGGGACTTTTAGCTCTTATAAACTGAAAAACTTACACATGTACAATTCTAACAATTCATATCTAACAAATATAACAAAGACTATACAGAGTAAATCTCATTCAAGAGGCCCCCTTTCGCTCTGATTTATATTTTAAAATGTTAAGGATTTCAAATTTCCCTGGAAATAAACAACATCTACTGAAATCTTTGTACATAAGCAGAAAAAGAAAGAAAGAAAGAAATCCCTGGGAAAATAAATGCATACCTGATTTTCAACTAGATTGTTAGAGGGCAGGAACCAACAATGTTTTACACAACTTCTATAACCCCAAATCCTTCTGCACTGTAATTAATACATATTCTGACTCAGCAATGCCACTTTGGGAAAACTAACTGGAAATAAAAGCAATGGATCTTAAGGTTACAAGCAAGGATGCTGCAGTAAACATCATCTATAGCAGAGAGTGGGAACTAAGAACAACCCCTAGTAGAGTTATGACCAAATAAATTCTGTAATTGTCACATTATTTTTGGTAGCATGCAGTTATTAATA